AAAATTTTGACTGTGATTGGAACAACTGGAAGGAAGGCTAAATGACGGTGTCACCTCAGTCGTTGTTCATTCTTCCTCCATTCCCTTATGGAACTCTCAGCAACATTGAACTCTCTGCCTGCGGCTCGATTGCCGATAACCTTGAATCGGTGAAATGATTCGTTTGCGAGACTGGTTTACTTTTCATTTGCTATCTTTTTCAAAAACACACTAGTTCAAATGAACGTTTCAAATGAACCAAAAGTGCTCAAGTAGATAGCGTAAAGATAGAAACGATCTGAGGAATGTTCGTGATAATTTGATGATGAATGACCTGCATATATGATAGTTATACTATACCTTAGCGTAATCAATGATATCAAGTTTTTCTTCAAGTACATACTGTTTCAGTTTTCGTCCCCTCTGTGATGGTCGTTCACCATTGTGAGGAGCATTCCCATTGGCTCCAGCCTGCCTCTGCAATTCATCGAAGCAAAATTAACATTCTGTTTAAATCAACATTAATTAATATTCTTCTTGTGCAAATATTCTAATGAGCGTTACTGCTATGGACAAATTTCACTTCTTGTTTCATTTAGTATCATTACTGGAGATTTCACACCATCAAGGCATTTTAACGCTGCAAATATGTAGTTTTTTTGTTGGTCAATGCTAAATTTGCCTTATTCACTTGATATGTCTTTTGATTATCAGTTTGAGGTGATATTGATTATGAGCTGATATTGATTTGAGCTGATATTGACAAATATTGATTATCAGTTTGAGTTGATCGAATAAATCACTGGAATAGAACGTGCGCGACTGAATAATGCTGTCTAGTTTTTTTTGGCAGTGGATGGATTGATTTTTTTGTTTTTACTGGAATAAAGCGCTAGACTATGGTTTTGACATGTAGTCATTGTGCAGCCATGTACGGTATTTGTCTGTGAGATTGTCGTTTTGATTCGTCGAAACATATCAGATTCATACTGGACAAAGTGATCGCGTCACTCTTCAATACGACTGACAATCGTCTCGTATGTGACATTTACAACGAGAATTATATGGAATCTTCAAATGGAATAATGCATGATGCATCTTTTATAGCAAGCGATTGTTTATGGAACAGCGCGATTATTTGAAAGCATCACCACAATATTGATGGCAAGGCAATCTTGCGCTGACAATGTGTTCCGTGTTTGGAATGCTATCGCGACAGAAATATTGCCATTTTGAGAGCGGTTACAGAAGAGCGCTAGTCAAGAGGTTGGGCGGCTGCAAACCAAAACGTTTTCATGCGTTTTTATTTGGTGGTGAGCAACACGCAACAGACTGAAAACAGTTGTTGCTGAATGCAAAGTGCGCACGAGAATCGACAACACATCAGCAACACCATGTGCACAATACTGAAAATTTAAATAAAGCAAATGAACAAATGCAGTATCGTCGCTGCTTATGATTTCACACATCTTACATTCATTTTAAACCGTAATGCATCTAGCCACAATAGCCTCTAAATAAATGTTTACATGAATAAGCAGCGCATGGATAGCGCGAGTTGAATGTGGGCGTTTGAAGAAAGCAGTCAAAATGTTCTTCATACTGTTTGTTGTTAATTCAACAACTTTTTTGGCCACATTCAAACGTGTGAATATCTCGACGAAGAATTCCCGAGCAGGCTGATCGGGAGTGTGCTTTCAAACTGATTTATTTTCTGTGCACTCCAGACTGTACTCGTTAAGATCGTTGCACAAAGCTGTAGGATCATGAAGAGGATCTGATAATTGCTAACACATTACGTTCTGTTGTTGTGCAGCAGTGCTTAGAAGGATCAGTCTGGAAGCGTCTAGCAGACGCATGGGAAATTTGCCTCATTACCGAGGGTTTTTTTTTTTGAGACTCCATACCACTTATCATAAACTCAAAGAGGACGATTTTCGAACACTCGGTTCTCGGAAACCAGAAGGGTTCGTGAAAATGTAACGAATCATTAGATTGTTCTAACTGCGGGATTTGAATAGTCATCATACACTTCGACTGATTTTGAGACAGCTTCATTTTTTAGTGATGAACATTCAGTGGTTCACATCAAGATATGAACAGAACGGAAGCATCATTAATTTCGCTAAACTAGGAGTCTGTTGTGGTTATAGAATGTGATGGACGCAGACGATTGTTCAAAGTTAATTTAGGCAGGAGGCATTCAGTGCCACTCGATTTTGAAAGACTCATTTCAAAATGGGAAACCATCACTGAATTGAAATGACTTTCAAGGAGAAATGAAATGAGAATGAGTTGAGTGCGCACTGAAGTGGCAAATCCTGCAAACTCTATGAGATTTGCTTTTTTGCCTCCATGCTTCTATCAAAATCATGGCGAATAGAGAGAGCAAAATTAGGTTCTGAATAGCTCATTAAGAAGACGTATGCTACATTAAGATTTGTCGACATCTTGATACTAGTGAAAATGCCATGAAAGTGCTATTGTTTCCTATAGGCTGGAGGGTGAATGCTCGCTCGATTTGTAGAGGAATTGCGAAACTACAGAAATAAGCGTGTGTATACAGCATGGAAATATCATGCATATTGCATTCAGTCGGGATGAATTACAGCGCAAGTTTTTGCATAATTTTCGTTCGTTCGTTCGAAAATCTGCTCTGAATAGCTACGGAATAGACGTCGAAATAACAAATTTTGACTATGTACACATTCGTGAATAACTCCGAAATTCAGTTCATCAAATGGCATTTCTAACTGAAAATTCACGCCAACTGCGTCGATGTGCTTGGAAGTTTGTCATGAAAACAGTATTTGTAGTTTTGTCCAGCATGCATCCTCTAAAGCGTTTATGCATGCATGCACGCACGGTTATTATTCGTTTATCATAATCGCAGAATAATTTGGTCACCTTTCTTTTAGTATTCTTCACGTCGTTCGATTGTGCCTCATCAACCATGATTTCTTGATGAGGTTAGATTTATTGAAACGGATAACGTGCCGAGTGCTTCGGATACACACACCTGAGCAGCACTACAAGATGAAGTTTATGTGCGCAACGACGACAGAATATATTTTTTGTTTGATATGTCTACCAGCTGCTTCGAATAATATCACGTAGATTTATTCGTTTCAAAACGTAGATAACAGTGCATTTGGTGACAGTAATAATGATCTAGAGCTACTTGCATACGTTTCCTTAAAAGATTACAGTGAAGAATATTGGTGTTGTGGCTGGCGAATTCTTGAGAGTCCGTATGGGAATCACATTCAAACTTTGAAGGAGAACGTTTCGGATGATTGCGCGCAAATAAATGGGCAATGATCAATGGTTGTCGATCAAAGTCAGTAGAGATTCAGCTTTTCAGTGTGTAGTTCCAATGTAATAAGACAAATTTGCACACGTAGATGCCAATATTAGAATAAAATAGCAGAAATAATATCAGTGTTACAGACAAAAGATTTTACTATCAGTAGCGTGCGTTCAGACTGTTAACGATATGTGAGACGATGTGAAAATTGTCGATAGCATCAGTAGTGGTCAATGATCACCAAATCAAAATAAGTAAAAATGGTTAAAAGCATAATTGCTTCGAGCAAACTTGCATTTCCATCAATTGATCACACATACACACACACTCACTCACGTTGCACAAATACCTGAAAAACATCGATACGGTGAATAATTCTTGTATTAAGATGTCAGCGATAAAATGTTCACGAATCGACATTCGTCGAATGAATGGAAAAAGGTTCATTTGAATCGTTGAGAAGCTCACAGAATTTATTGAGTGCGTGAATGAATTGACGATTATTTTTACATTCTCAATTCAAGATATTGCTGGTGGTGGTGGTGAGTAAACGAAATGCGTGAGCGCATACTCAAATGAATGAAAAGTGTTCAGAAACGGGACGAAGTGAAGTGAATTGTTCAATGATAATGCAGCAGCCGGCAAACAACAACAATCATCGAGAACGGGACCGCCGTTAATTTGTTGAGAGCGAAATCAGAAATTCGGAGAGACAAGACGACGATCACTCGAGTGGTCGCTCGATCGTGCTCCAATTAGCATCGTCATGCCTTTTCGCTCCCATTCGTCGTCATTTTCAATCGTTTGTGAGTCAGTCAGAATCGTTTAGTCAGAACTACTGCGTTTGTCAGGAACCTGCGCTGTCAGCATAATCATCAAACACCATTCGACGTATCGATGAGAGCGAGCGCAAGAGGAATTTTGAACAAAAATAGCAAAAGAAGAAAAAAATAGAGAATGGGAACCGTGAAAACCAAGACTGAAGTGGTCGGGACGAGCCATCAGGAAAAGAACGAGATGTCTAAGAGACGATAGGAAGACGAACGAACGATCACAGGCAAGAGCGTGAGGATGAGAAATGAGAAACGTAAAGCAAGAAATGAATGTGAATATAAGCTAAACGAGCAAAAACATCCATCCTTTTGCACATCAAGCCCTGAACTAAGCGCAAAACAGAACAGAACAGAGCAGAACAGAACGGAACAGAGACGAGCAACTAAACTACCTTTATAGTTTGCTCGCTTCTCAGCTAACTGGTTATAAGCTATGACATAAGAGAGTTGAATGCCACATTCAAGCATTAGCATTCATTGCCACTCTATGCTTACTTAACAATCACCTCAGCGCTAAGCTAGCAAACTCAGAACCAAACTGATCAATGTCTTCGAACGGGCACAAGTGCATAATTCCTTGATAATACCACGAACAATAACAATTATCATAATCATAATAACTGCCAATCATGACTACAACGAAACGACAGCAACATCACATTACCACTGAAATAAATATGTCAACAATTACGAATTCAATCATCATCAGAATATTTTTGCTGCTGCTGCTGCTTACATTGGTGCTGCACTTTTTTTGGTGGTTACTTGATGGCATGATGTCATATGGTAGTCTGTTACGAATATTTTGCATGATTGCGCGTTCGTCCTATTCACAAATGCGTATTTTTGACTGGGCGTGTTTAATGGAACTAAACAGTAGCACGCTTCTCCTCATGAATCAATCTCAAATCTCAGTATTAAAGAGATCAGATCTTTAAGTGATTAGATCAGTCAAGAAATTTTCTAAAATTAGAAAATGGTGATAATCAAGCGAAATGGAAATAGGATTAAGAAAAGCAGTAATGCTGATGAGAATGGCATGGAGTGGCGCAATATGACAACCTATCATCACAGCGTATCATATCAGATCATATCATATCAAGTATGAATGATAAAACAAACTCAGCAATGAAGCAGCAGCCAATCGACAGCAAACACATTGTAACAGAGCAGACGCGCGGCTTATTTCAAGCACCAGCTCAACAACGGCTAATCACCACACTAACAAACGCAACTATGATAAGCCTCTATTGCACCTTTTCATCACAATCACTAACTGATATTATTATATTACTACCAACAGCGTGCAAAAGCACATTCAATCCACTATTCATCAGTTATATAACTGCCATCCTCAAATTTCCACTATTATTACTGGTATGGCTGATGTTGATCATATTACTACAACTCGCATTCAGCCATCCATCATTACTATTGCAATTGTGAATGATCACATTCAACGCTTGTTTCGAGCTAATCCAAAAG